ATAGATAGATAGATAGATAGATAGATAGATAGATAGATAGATAGATAGATAGATAGATAGATAGATAGATAGATAGATATAGATATAGATATACTGCAATAATGTACAATAAAAATGACAGATATGGACATATTACAATAAAAAACAGCAGATAAATGGACTGGATCTTTTATTCATATACAGTATAGATAGATAGATTGTTGATTGTGCCAACAACACAAAGTTCATGTCCTAGCCTTGTTTTATCTCTGAGATCATTCTCTCTGGTGCTTTCTACTCCACTGACTTCATATAGTTACGACAGAAAATTGTTGCTACTACTACAATGTCACTGTCAACAAAGTATTTTTCCACAAGTGGGAAAAAACAGGAAAGTTCCCAAACGTTCCCCTGATAACAGCAGCATTCATTTTGTAAAAAGAAAAAATACATAAACAAGCGTAAGAGAGAGTAAACTCACCAGACCCTCTTAAGAATCTTTCTGTCCAGTGCCGGGGTTTCCCTGCAGATTCAGAGAGTAGCCATAGGCACATAATTAAAAAGTAATCATTATCACATGAGAGCCTGCTGGATAACTTAATTTGCTGAAGCTGGACATGAAAAGAGAAAGAACACAGCTCAGACAGGAACTCAGTCAATCATTGGCCTGATAGCATTACATAATGTTACTGCTGGAAGAAAATAACGATTTAACAAGCGCTGACCTTTGAACATCTCTTTACATCAACAGCACTTTACATCAATTTTAATCAACACATTTCCCTGACTGTCCTTGTTTTTAATCTCATAGTATAGTATTTCACTTGCCTTTTTATTTGCCTTTCTCTAGCAGGTTGCTTCAAGAAGTCCAGCTGAGCTCCTTCTCACTCCAACACAAAACCTGTTTGAGTCAAGCTGTTTCTTTCTTCAACTGCTTTTTCTAAAGGACACCTTGCCGTGCGAGTACGCTGTGAACTTGGAAAATAGACAGATCTTTTTTGTCACCCCTATGTGCTAGAGAGACACGGGCCTACTTTACAGATGAGGATAGAATTATTAGCCCACCTATACATGTTTTCAAAGTATTTCCCAAGTGCCAAACATCCTAGTTTTATTTTTGATGGTTACATTGTTTAACTTTGTGCACAGAAACAAAATGATTCCACTAAAACTACAATGGTCAAAATTATTAGCCCAAATGATGTTAATCTTCATTTGTGTATCCTTTTTGCTGTTGTCAGGTGTTGTTTTCATGTCTCAAACACACCTCTAGAGTAACCCCAGTTCATTCTTCTTTGTCAAATCTCTCAAGCTTCTCCAGATTTGATGATCTTCTGACGTGGACCTTGCTCCTCAGTTCACCACACAGATTTATGTCAGTTTACTTTGGTCTTTAGTTCTTTACCAGAAGTGATATATGTTTAAGGTTTTGATGGAAGATAAAGCATACACTCACTCAGTTTTGCTGCTGACTACTTGAGGGTTTTCTTTCAAATATTTCACATATGCTTCTGCTTTCATGATTCCTTCCATCTTGACAAGATTCCCAGCTTCAGACACACTGAAACATCCCCACAGTTCTTCTGCAAAAGTGCAATTTTTCTTAGCCTGCAACGTCACAGTCCATTCCTGTGCAGAGTTCTAGTGATTGTCTTAAGACTGCAAATACTGACCTGTCTAAGTCAATCACTGGTGTCTTGGCAGTTATTCTGGGATCTTTAGACACATCTTTCACTAGTTTTCTTTGCAGAGTCTTTGATATCTTACAGTTACTTCTGCCAGGCTTGTTCTGTACTGTGTGGCTCTCTTTCAATTTCTTGAAGATACTTCTCACTTCAGTTGTCATAACCGTGTTTATGCTTCGCTTTCCTGCTTTGTAAGCGTCAATTCTTTTTCTCAAGTCTAAACTTTTTCCTTTGATTTTGGCACAATGCTTTCTCAAGTGCCAGCTCCCTGAAGTTATGCTGTGTGTAAATTGGAAGATATCCATCAGTTTAACTTGATTTTACAAGCTTTGACTATTACAAAGTAAAAGCACATCCTTTCAGTTGTTTGTGCTATGGCTCAATAAACAGTTTTCAGGGAGCTAGAATTTGCCTGGCATTTTTTTTTTATTTTTTTTTTACTTTTTTTAATTAAATAATCCATTGCACATTAAACAAAAATCTGTTCTAACTATTGCTATAATAATAATGTGCTTTTATTGGACCTCTAGGCAAGTACCATCAGCTTCTATTATACTAAAGAGGACTTTTTAATCAAACAGCTGAATAAATTATGTAAAATGATAGGGATGTGCAAATGGTACTACAGACCAGAGAGAAAATACGTTAGGAAACATTTCAATCACCTCTGCTTTGTTAAATTTGAGGGGGGGGGGAAAAAAAAAAAAAAAAAAAAAAAAAAAAAAAAAAAAAAAACACTGGAAATTATTTGAATCATAAACACCCTTTAAAGAAGTTCATCGGCTCCGGTCACTCAGGAGGCCCCTCTAAGTAAACCTCTACAGTTCAGTCTATTCATGTTTGCCATGAAGCTGTGCTGAAAATTCTCAGTTCAGTCTACAACTCCAGGTGTTTAAAAGGATTACCGCGTGACAAGAAACATGCATAAAAAGTGTTTTTATTATTATTAACAATAATAATAATCATGAGTCTGTTCCACTTTGTAAGTGGATGCATAAAGACATAGAAAAAAAAAAATAATTATGAGACAAGCAATGAGAGCCCAGACAAACGCACAGCAACAACACAGGACCTTCAACTAAACAGGCAGCATCTTGATTGTACACATACTTCTCTCAGTTCCTATTATTGCTCCCCAGTCCAACAAGAAGAAATGTGAACCACAAAGTATGAAACCTAGGACAAAGCCAAAAGGCAAAGACTCACCCACCTTAAAACTTTGAAAATAAAGACTGACAGGCAGTTGCAGTTGGAACCAGTTACAGCTAATTTCAGGAATGTAACCAACGGGTTTTGTTTCCAACATACTTTTGTTCAATTTAAGAAAAAAAAAAAGAAAAAAAATTATGGTTCTTCCTTTAAGCCAGAAAGCATTGACCCCAACCACAGTTTATACCCATGGAATGATGAGCTCATTAATATTTTTTTGGGTCCATCATGCTTAAAGTGCTGTAAAAGCACACATTGTTACACGTTTCCTCTCTGTAAGCTGAGGTTATTTGCATTAAACAGATCACATGTGGTACCTTTTTTACTGCTCAAAATCATTTACAAGTTTGGTGTTTATAGACAGCATTGAACACTTTTTAGACAAGGAAAATACAGAAGAGAAAAAAGAAAAGGGAAAAAAAGAATTAAATTCAACAGTAGTCCTTGTCCCTGGAGATGTGGATGTTTGTCTGCTTGAAGCTCAGTATGTAATAGTCCACTGCTTGACACTGGCGTCGTGGGAGGTGGTGACCAGAGTGTGAGCATCTATCCAAGCCAGGCCGCTAACGTGGTGCAATCGGTGAGCGTCTGCAACAAAGACATCACAGCAATTAAGAAAAAAAAAAAAAGAAGAAAAAAAAAAAAGCCATCTTCAACTAAAAGAACCTGGGTTTAATAAAAGTTTAGTTTGTTTAACATCCCATACTGACTGAGATGTGAGTTATAACTCTTTAAGAAATCAAGCCTGGTTTTGCTCCTAAATTTCAACAAATTGTATTCAACAAACTGAGTTTATAAACTTTGTAACAGTTTAGGACCATTTCATTTATTTTTACCCTCTTTTCAATAATTGCTCAGTAAACATTTAATATTAAAAAGCTTATTACTTATTGAAAATAAGAAAAATAATGGTAACAGTCCCACTGTGTAACTGCCTCCAGATTCAAACCCTAATTGCAGATCCAGTTCAGAGTCAATGCTATCTACGATGACCAGATGTCTCTTTGTGGGACTGCACAGCA